TGCCATCTTTTTAACTTTGCTCGTAAAGCTGCAAGCTAGATCTTGATTTATTATTGTGGTGATATTATAAACTTCATTTTTTTTTCTTGAAATAACGACCAGAGTAAGAAAGTTTGGCTCCCAGCAGAGATATCAAGACACAGTGCTTAGTTTTGAGGTTCCCAATATTATGCAATGTTTGCTGTAGACATTTCCATTTCATTAGCATATTCTACTTTACACGAAATCCAGCAATGAATGCTGTCCCTGATCTAAGGCTAATCCTCTTTAAAGAGCTACAGGCTATATTACATGTGGCCACAGCCACAGTTATGCCAGGGCTGGATCACTTTGAAGCCTATTGAACAGTGTTCCCTTGTGAGGCCATACACAGAGCCATAAAGGGATGCTCCCTGTGCTCTGAAATCCTGCTGTTTCCATCTCCAGGAGTTTCTGTCAGGGACAGAGCAGAGTCCCAGGCAATGGGCTGCAAACAGGGAAGAAACACCAGGCCTGTCTTCACCACCCCTCAGTGCCAATTTATGTGCCTACAGTAATAAAAATCCTTTTTTTTCCTAAATCTCAACAGCAACTGCCCCAAGGGAGGGCTTCCAGAACAATCAAAGGTGAAGGAGAACCAGACACCTGCTTCCCTGAGTAGGAAGGAAGCTGTTTGAGTAGTATGGGACACAGCCATATCTATCTTGGAAGGAAAAAGAGAGAAATGGTCATGGATGTACCTGTAAGGCCGCATTGCTCACAGCTGGGTGCCCTGAACACTGTAAACTGAGATAATGGAACCGTGTTCTTATTGCCACACAGTGTGGAATCTTCAACGCCTTCACATCTATACAAATGTAAAGGGAGAAGAAATTACAAGACAACAAAAAGGGCACTATGTTCTCTGGTCCTGCTACATATCAGCAAAATACAGCTTATATTACCTTTAATTGTTCCAAACTACTTTCTTTGTTCAGTGAAAGGAACTGGAAAGGCTGACTCTGCTCAGCCTGCAGTGTGCACATGGAATTTTCTCTGTCTGAATGGTGTCAAACCAGACAAGGAGAATGGATTCAGCCTCCACAGTAAAATGTGGGGCCTGGTGAAGATAATGTTCAACCTCGTCACTATCAAAATAGCAGCAAAAATTCTTTTTTCCTTTGCAGTAGAGGGAGAAAGGGTCCAGAGAAAAAACAAACACAAGGTGGAGGGCGCAGCAGAGGGAATAGGAAAAATAATCAGGAGGATGGTGAAAGGGAAGAACAGCAGAGAGCAGAAAGGGCAGGAAAATGGAAGAGAAACTGAGAAGGGAGAGAAAGGGAGAAGCCAGAGAGGCTCTAAAGGAGGACAAAGGGCAGATCATGATGTAGAACAAAAATGAGAACTTGGAAAGTGATATGAACAAAGTCCATCTTGCCAGGAGTACTTCTCACCAGTCAAGATGAATATTCCTCATCAATTTATTCTGCTCTGATGAGAAGAAAAGAGAAGTGGAAGAGCTCATTTTTCTGAGTAAACAAGAAGCAAAGAAGGAAATAAACAGAGGGAACTGTGTCCTCTTTTCCTTCTTTGGAAGATCTCCTCTCTGCTTGTGGAGTGGAGCTGCTCTTGGCACTGGGAGCTAAAACTTCAGGGAACACACGTCCTCCCCGTGCTCCTCTCCTCCCTCTCACACTGACATCCAGTGGAATACAGTGGGATATCTCTGGAGTGCACCTGCCTTTGAGAAGGGCCTGTCTCTTTTCTGTTTGAACGAGGCACTCGGTCACTGTGCAGTAACAACAACTCATTGCACAACCTCACTACAGGTTGTTGCACGCTCCATTAGACCTTTCCCAACTCCTGGAAGTTGTCACTGCCATTATTACCATTAACTTACAAGGACCTCGACAACTCTTGCACTAACAAAATGAAATTTATGACTTAAAAAGAAAAATAAAGATAAAGGAAAGAAACCACCCCCCCACCCCGCCCAAACCAACAACTAATTACCACAAAACACAAAAGTCCCCCCAAACGAACCTTGTCTTTCGTGTCTGGTCACACATTGCCATCTACTGGCTCCCACTCCTGCGCTCGGAGTGCTTGGGTGGTTTGGAATGAGCAAAGGGCTGTGAGCAGCCTGGGGTTTATGGCTCTAAATCACTCAGCTCCTCCTCAGTGACCCGGCAGGTCCCTGAAGGACACTTTCGGGTCACCCCTGTGCCATCATCCCATGACAGGGCAGGTACAGCAGCGCCCTGCCCAGCCCATGTGACAGGTGACAAGACACGAGTGAGGGATTTAACACCAGGGAAAGCCAGCAAACAGTGCCTGGGGAGACACTCCTGGGGTATGGAGAGGGCTGGGGGGGACAAGTGTCACCCACTGCATCACAGCTGTCCCCCATGTGACACAGGCTGGTGTCGTCCTGTGCCAGAGCTGGTAAAGCACCACTTCTGCACATTTCTGCCCCAAAACTAACCCTCAGTGCACCCAAACCCACGGTGATGCTTGGCACAAGAGGCGCCAGCAGGTCACAGCATCTGCCTCAACGTTTGCCTGGTGACACTAGGGACAAGCTGTGCCAGTGAGTGGGAACACTGGTGACCAAAAAAACACAGGAATTATACTCACACACAACATTCACAGCTGTTGGCACCCTTTACACCTGAAGTCACCGGCAAATCCGAGCACTGCGTGGACACTTTTGCTAACCAGGTTCAAAATCTGACCTTAAGAGAGGGGGACAGAACTGTGGAAATCGCAGCACAGCAGAAATCAGGCCAGATTTCCTGATGATTCAGCAGGGTGAGGATACTTTGATCATGTAAACTTAAACAGCAGAGACAAGGAGAAAGTTTCAGACTTGTCTGGACTGATGCTGGTCTCAAATGCCCACAGAAAGGCTTTTATGCTGTAACAGAGACAGAACTATAAAAGGACATTTTTCCCAATTGTCCAAGAAATGTCACCAGAGCATTCCTAATTTATAACCACTCCCAAAGACGATTAAGAGACTATACTTCCTATAACTCCTCTGACCCACCATGAAACGTCCCAGAAAGAGAAAGAAACACATTTCCCCTCACTGACTCCTGTTTCCTAAGCCAATTAGGACTGACAGCAACATAAAAGTTTCTGGTATTTTCCCATTTCCCAGATTTGCCTGTGTAGGCTCTGGAGTTACAGGAATCAGTTGTGAGAAGAATAACACTCCATCACAGCCACATCAAAACCACCTCGGTCTTCCAGGCTGAAAAACACTAAATTACCCCAAACACCACATTTATCCACAGTTTCACTTTCGACCGAAGAAATTTCAACTAAAAGAAGAAGTTATTGTAATACTGGAATGACCTCTACTACAGCACAGAACAATTTTAGCAGGAAGATTAGCCAAAAACCCCACAAGCACAGAGTGCCTGCATTTTTTTTTTTCATATAAAGGGCAAACCTGGAGCTGTTTTACTGAAGCTGGCAGCATTTCAACTGACTAGAAACTTACTGAAGAGAGAAGCTGTAAATCTAGTTTCTGCCCTCCCCTGTGCAAAATCACACAGAGCTATACTTAAATCATAAAACAACACAGGAACATGAAACTAATTTGACATTACACAATCCTACAGGGAAAAAAAGGAAAGGTCCTTACATACCTCAATAGATACAAGTATCAAAATAATCTTATCAGAAAAGTTGTCTGATGACCTGGGACTTGGCTCTTTCCAGAAACAAAGGACTGACAGGAATTATAACTATCGACAGATGCAATAAACAGCAGGGTTGCGCAATTCTGGACTTTCCAGAAGGCAGCAAAGTATTTCATTTTTCTTGTGTGAGCACACAGGCCCAGCCTTGCCTGCTGTAAAAAAGGCCTTCACCTGTGGGAGAAAGTTGGAATAATTTTTTCCTTCTCTGCTCAACAGCACAAATTCTTGCAAAACACAGTTTAATCCCTTTTTTTTTTTCTTTTTTTTTTTTTTTCCCGATGTCAGGGAGAAGAGCCCACAGAACAGCCGTAGTAGGCTGCATACAGATAAAAGTTATTCCACAAGAACTACAAGGGAACTTATCAACCCACAAGTCATTTACCTGTTTGCTGAAGAGATAAAAAGTGAAAAGCAGTTTGTATGAACAGAGGCAGAATTTGACAGCCCGTGCCCGAGCAATCAAACCCTCAGTACTTACTCGCTGTGCAGGCACAGGGAAGGGAGGACACGGAATTTTCGGGATCTGGATGGAAAAGGAACAGGTTTGCTTCGCCACCGCTCCTGTGCTGGGGAGTGACACAGATGAATATGATAAACCAAGCCGCTGGGTAAAGAAGAATCCACGGCTGTCTCAGGATTTGTAAAGGGAGATAAAAAGAGAAGTAAGGAAAAGTTTTCAGATCACTTTGGACCATCGGCCAGGGGAAGATTAGGCTATTTGCCAAAGGCGGCGCAATGAACCTGAACCGCGGTTGCTTAAAGCAAGCAACTAAATATTTTAAAATAATCAATTTAATAATATAATCAGGTCAACTGCTATATGCTCATAGCGTGCCGCTTACCAAAGCGTTTTACTCCTGAAAGCGTTCATGTGGGGGGGTAAAACCGGAATTATTTTGTCTGACAGCTGAGCCCGCGAACTTGTGATCCCTGACACGGCTCTGAACACACGCTCAGGTGGCCCCGCAAACCCCGGACAGACCCGTGGCTGTCCCTTTAGTGCTATTCGCTGTAATAAACAATTTAACTCTTTAAAAAAAAAAAAATTTTTTTTCTCCTTTATTTTTAAAGACGTTCCACTTCCGGCCCCGCGGTGCCCTCGGCGCTTCCCGCCCCTGCCCCGCCCGCTCCAGCTCCTCCCGCCTCAGCGCTTCCCGCGGCTCCCGCGGGAGTTACCGGCACTGAGGAGCGGCAGCCGCCGGAGCTCCCGGCAGGTGGGGATGCGACCGGGCCGGGCTGGGCTGGGAGGACGTGAGGGGAAGGAAGGGGGCGGGATAGATCGGCGGGCAGGCCGGGATGTCGCCAAGCAGTTCCCGTGGGTTCGGTCCGGCACATCCCGGGCTGTGGGGTGGGAGGTGGCGCCGAGCCTGCTCCGGAGCCCGTGTTCTCAGGGCTTCCCGTTGTTCTGCTGCCTCTGGAAGTGGGGATAATGGCACTCGCTGTCCCCTAGGAGAGGATGAGGTGAGACCACGGTGGGTTTGGCTCCGGTGGAGGTACGGAGGACAGAGCTGTGAGAGAGATCTACAGAAAGTTTCTTCCTCCTGGCCAATGCTCTCTCGTAAGTAGAAACTCCTTCAGCATTTACGGGAAGGAATGTTCAGTATGTTCCTCCACCTCGGCGAGCCTCTGGGGCAGCACTGGGCAGCCGTGAGGGGATGCCTGAGGTGATTGTGGATGTGGATGTGGATGTGAAGCGGGAGGATCCTCTGTGGGAGCTGCCGAGATCCAGGTTCATCAGTGGGTGCTGCCGAAGCAATGGGTGGCTGTTCTTTTTTTAAATTAAATTTTCGTAATTCTGTAAAACTCGGTAATGTGAACGAAAGTGGCAAGGCACAGAAGTGCCTCTGCGGGCTGAACTGCAAACATAATGAAAGTGCTCAGTGGTTTTCCCCCTCACCCAAAGATGACCTCATGTAATATCCCCTTACTGGTGCAAAACAAGGAAGGGCAGAGCTAGGCACGGGGCCGGTCCCTCCTGGCCCACAGAGCTGCTTCCAGCATCCCAGAGAGACCTGGGAATCCACAAGGAGGAGGGACTGGTAATGGTGCCACCACAGCTTGGCTCCCAGATGGCAAAGGAGTAACCTGCTACCAGGGCATCTGTCTGTATTCCTGCCAAAAGCACAGATGATATTTCCTAGCTTGTTTTAAAGGGAGCTCTGCTGGAAATTCTGTGTTTTCACTCATCATCTGTGCTGTTGCAGCCTGCTTCAGTAGCTAAGACGAGCTTGCTGAGCTACTGTGTCAGAACTGTGGCTGATTTTGTGTTCAAGGTGCAGAGGAACCAGTTTTGAGGTTTTGCACAGAAAATCATGCACTGATACGCCACCATGCACTATGTTTGGTGTTTGTGTGCAGCGTGTAAAAACCACAAGTCAACTCCATCATCACAAAACACAATCATCACTTCATTGCAGTGATGATTCAGCTACTCATAAAGCTCTGAATGGAGCTGGTGAGCTCCAGATCTGTGTGAGACACACTGGGAACTTACAGCAATGTGGATGTAGAAACATCTGCTCTATGTGATACCAGTTAAATGGCTGCACACATGTTTCTCTGGTGAGTAACTGGGAGCTCATTTGCTGGTTTCTACTTTCAGACAGCAAGACTTTTCTTTTCAAGGCTCAGTTTTAGTGCGGGAAGACGCTGGCCTTGCATTTAGAGAACCAGATGGCAGCCTTTCCTGAGCTGGTTTTATTAGGGTGCACTGCAGTCGCTCAGGCCTTGGAACAGAATTTGTTTCCTAAGTATGTGGTCTCTGTGCTGCATGTGAAGAACTTTTAAAAACAGCACAAAACCATCAAACCCAAGAAAAGTAAAATTTTTTAGCACTTCCGCAGCAGCAGAGAGCTGGGATTTTCCAATAGACAATGGGGAAATAGCTAGAGGTGGTGACAATTCCTCTTTTAGGTCTCGTGGCTTTTAGGTCTCGTGGACAGACCAACTTTTGCATTCACTTTTTATGCTGTCCCAGCAGTCACTTCTAAACACTTTTTCCATGCAAGAAATCAGTTTGGTGAGCCCAAGGAATGCTTTATAAATACTTGAATTACCACTGCCTACACACAGACTGTTGGTAAAAGTCCCTTGATACCTTCCAGCCACAGGACACACCGAGAACAGAGCGCACAGGCCCAGCCACTAGTGCCTAACTCCATTTTAAGTCTGTCAGGCAAATCTTACTGCTAAATGACATATTTCTTGCAAAGATAAATCTGCCTGTGAGACCCTCACAAAGAGCTTGCTGGCAGCAGTGGTCAGTCGTGGCTGCTGAGCTCCAACTCACGTGCTTTCATCATGTTTATTGTCAGGTATCTGCAGGTTCTGTCCAGTGTAGAGCAGCACAGGAAATATTTCAGTGCCACGCTCAAACCAGTTTGTTGGTTTCCACGCCGTGATTTTGCCCTCTCCTGGTTCTGAGGGCTCCTCTCGTCATGAGCTCCTTCGAGGAGGCCGAAACAGAGGAGACGGTGACGTGCCTCCACCTGACCTTTTACCACCCTGGCCAGGGCGAGAAGATGATGTTCCGCTGCCTGGATTTCTGCAAGCGCCAGCAGGTCCGGGCGGACGACACGGCCAAGTTCGGCCGCGATTCCAGCCTCTGCCGCTACAGCCTGATGGACACGCGCGTCTCCCGCATCCAGTTCTCCCTGCAGTTCTACAGGAAGCTCCACACCTCGGAGTACGGCTTTGAGGTCAAGAACTTGAGCAAGAAAACCAAACTGACCGTCAACCAAACGGAACTGAGTTACTTAAACAAAATCGAGCTGCCCCTGAAGTGCATCATCTGTTTTGGGGACTACCAGATCCTGGCAGAGATTCAAGAAGGGGAGGCCGTGGATTATTTTGAGATTCACTTACACTTGGCTGAAGCACCCATCTTACAAGAAAGGTGCCTGCCATCCCTGCAGCCTATACCTGAGAATGGCATTTCTCCTTCCTTTTCTCTTTCCCAAGGCAAAAGCCCCACGGAGATTGATGAAAACGAGCTGTATTAGCGGGGGGAAGGAGGCTGGATCAGGTTTTTTAGTCTCCAACATACACAGCTCTCACCTCAGCCCAGTGTTCGTGGCAGTGCTCACTGACTGCTGCACATCAGTCTTCTTGGTGCTTTCAGCACAGGCATTCCACAGCACTGCTCCACAGAAATGGATTCCTGCCACTGCCTTCACTGAGGGCTCTCTGACACCCAAAAAGGTGTAAGAGGTGGGAGGGTCACTCAAATCCATGGCAGCAGGTTCGAGCCGTGGCCACGTGCCTTGAAGGGACATTTAACAGGCATTAATACAGAGCATGCACAGCAGGGCTTTTGGTCCCAGCCAAGGGGTGACACGGTGTCTTGTTGCATATTGTACTTTGTGCTCTGCTTTGCACACCAAATTCCAAACAGTATTTTTTGTGAGCCTAGGTTGTGACTTCACAGATTTCGCAACTTAGAAATGCTTTGTCCTTTTGAATTTATGTTTTTATTAGCTTCAAAGCAAGGTTTCTTTTGTATTTCTACTTATTTAATTAACTATTTTTTTTTTTTTTGCAAGTTAACTACTTTTGCTTGTGATGTAGACAAACATGTAGCATCAACGATCATGGTCTATAAAAATCCACATTAGTTTTGCAATAAATATATTTTGTTCTGTATTAAGGATTTGCTCCATTATATAGCTGCAATCTAGAAGAATTTTTGGAGAATAAAATTATTTCCAGGACCATCCAGATAAGAGACTGTCACTGGCACTATTCCAGGCTTTCCAAAAATGCCATCACTCCAAGGTAAGAATTTACTTAAACACTTTCAGGAAGTTTTCTACCTCTACTCCTCTACCCAAACCTCTCTTAATGATTTTCTTGTCTTTTACGCATTTTTCAGGTTGTTGCAGTTAAGTTTTTCTTTGTCAGGGGCTCAGCTTTTCATTGGCATTTGGCTTTTTTATTTTGTCAAATATTTTAGTTTGCTTGAAAGACACACTGGGGAAGAATAGGAGTTACCCATTTTATCATCCCTAAATATTAGGATGTATTTCAGCATTAATCATTCCAAGAAAACCATAATTATAACCGAGGGGAGGAACAGCTGATATTAAGGCAACCAACCACAAGTGTGAGAAAGCCATGGGAGAGGCTATGAAACTCAAACACAGGTTTATGTAGGATTTGTCTGTTCATCTCCTCTGTGACAAAATTACTTTGTTGCCATGTTTTCCACTCCTGGAACCAGGCTCTGGTTTCCAAACAACAATCACTTGCTCAGCTGTATTTACTTGAGGTAAGAATCAACTGTAAAACACACATTAAAAAATGAGTTGTCTCCTGTGACTACATTGATATGACCAGCAGAAGGTCATTTACACAAGGAAGGTTATTTTGCCTTTAAAGGGTGTGGCTACAGCTGCTCATATCCAACAGGAGACTGGCTCCATGCTCCAAATTCTTCAGGTCTTCTGCAACAGGCCCCCCCAAAAGGGACACTGGGATTCAGCAGGGCTCTGACATGGCTGCCACAAACCCAGAAACAGATACCACACTGTCAAATGTAAGACTTGCTGAAAATTTTAATGACTTTTAAATTTGTCCAGATCGGCATTTTACAGTACCCTTGAACTGCTTCACGTGAGCTGTTTATAGAATCCCTCCATTTCTCAAATACCCACAGAGATAGAGAATCACTTCAGAAGTCACCCAGTGACTTCTGTGCACTGAGCACTGCAAATGTTCTCATTAACCATGGCTAAAGAACATGCCCATCACAGAAAAAGCTGGAGTCAGCTTCTTTTTTCCTAAGTGCTTGTCCAGCTGATTGACTTCTTCAAGGCATGGTCAGGACAAGGTCACCTCATGTTCCCTGGCCAGGAGAAGCAGTGAGAGGGGCAGGGGAGGTGACAGTTTCAGCAGGTTAAAAAAAACATGTTATTTACATGTTGAGGAAGTTCCCTTCCTTCCCATAGGAATATATTGTACAAAGAAATATCCAGAAGTCACACAGCAGTAGCTTAGGCCAAACCCAAAATATACATTTGATGTGTACAGGTCTTTAAAGCTCATTACAAGTATTGCAAATATAAATAATGGCAGTAAAATATTTTCAGTGACACAGCTACAACTGAAGAGATGAAATGTTACCAACAGGATTTATCTGTTCTTGGGTTATTTGTACACATTTAACCCCATTGTGCAGTATTTTCGTTCCTTATCCACACTGTAATGACCCAAATATTCTAAATAGCTTCAGATGAGCTAAACCACATTTTTCACACAACTTTCACCGACAAATTCAGGTCTGATGATTGACAAAGCAGGTTCATTACTTACCACATGTTCCCTTTTACTCCAAAACAAAGTTAAACCCTGTCACCCTTTTTCCCCTGGAAAAATGAGACTGCTGCACAAAATAATGGCAGAGTAGAATGGCTTTACTTTGAAACTTTGGGGAAAGCTTGAGATCTGCAAGTACTTTGCAGGTTCTCTTTTGTTAAAAAGTAAGATTGACATGGAATACCGGGGGAGACCACACAGCACAGGACAGCAGTGGTGCAGTCACTGAATATGAATACCTCCTTGGATTTCAGTCCCTATTAGCAGGATTAACCATCCACTTGAGAGGCACAGGAAAGGCAGAGCACTTCAACACACTGTTAAAACATGAATTTTTCTTCTTTCTTTTCAAAATGCAGATATAGAAATTCAGAAGTCTTTAGGTTCTTGTTCTTCCCACCCCCAGCAGCAGAGCCATCATCCCTCCCCCACTTTGTTCACTGGATGTTGCTTTTCCATAACTGTTCTGGTCCAGTGGAATTATAAATTTTCCACAACTGAGGAATTTTAAGGACCACGTAGTAACAGAGGCTGGTCTGTTCAGGGGGGGCTGGGAAAACAAGACTTTGGTCCTCCCAGTTCTCCACTGATTAAAATTCCCATTTTACTGACACATGTAGAGAATTTATATTTTATTTTTGCTTTTCTATCTAGCACACGCTTACTAAGTCTGGCATGTTATTATAGAAGGCAGTATCTCACCTAACCTGATGATTTTTACTATGTTCATTGAGGTTAACCGTGCTTAGCGTACAGTAATAAAAAAAAAAAATGGAAAAAGGACAACAGAAGACTAGGAAGGCTTTAAGCTAGACAGGGGAAAATCTGAAAATTTGCTATGTGTCAGATTTGTTTTGCAGCTCTTACTTTTGCACCCTCTAAACAGCTGAAGAGCAAGTCAAAAAGCACAGACCAGAAATAAAAATATTTTAAAATTATTTCTCTATCTTCAAGTATTAAATAAATTATACAGGACTGTTTCTGAGATAAATATTAGGCCAATGATGAATTTTAAAGCAAAATCAATAGAATCATCATCCAGGAAAAAAAAGGCGAATTAAAATATAGATAAGTCAAAGCTATGAAGCTCCAATTACTGCAGATACTTTTATCTTAAATCCAGATACCCAGAAATATACACAATAGAATCATCCCAGTTTTCACAAAAGTGGAGAAGGTAGATGATAAAATTGCACTTAGTTCTGAATCCATCCGGACAGCGAGTCGTTCCAGTCGCTCGCCGATCCGCGCGTAAGAAAAAGGGAAGCGGGTTCCAAAAGAGCCAAGTGGCTTTGTGGCTGATTCCACTTCCCTTTCCAGCATTTGGTCACGGGCAGGGGCCGTGCTGGGATGGTCACTATCTGTCCTGGTGCTCAGAATCTGACAGCCTGACGTCCGAGGCCGACAGTTCCAGCACGGGGTTGACGAAGCCGGCGTACTCGGAGTTGCCGTTGTCGTCCACGGCGGCGCTGACGAAGTCGTTCTCCCACTCCAGCCCGTTGGAATCGTCGGAGGCTGAGGCCGGGTGGCTCCCTGGCTTCCTGCTGTTGAATTTCAGCGCTGCCCGCAGGATGTCCTCCTCCGTCTTGGAGCGTTCCCGCACCGGGATCATCCTGTTCATGCCTGGCGTTTAACACACGCGCGTGAGAAACACGTCCTGGTGAGTTTGCACCTAACTTCTACGTTTCTGCTAGGAGAAACGAGGGTGGAATTTGGACAGATCGGAAAGGTCTTCAGTTTGTTTAATTCCACGCTAAATATGGTTCTGGCCGCTGCTCAAAGACATCTAAGATTATTCTGATTTTGTCACTAATTACAGACATTAATCACCTATTAGATTGGCTAAAAAACAATCTCTTGCTTATTTTTGGCGAGCCTTTCAATAGTCAAGGTCTCAACATTTTGAATAAACTTTCAACTAAGAGCTTTTGCAGGTTTAGTAAACAAAAGAGCAGGTATTGGCAACAATGAGGAAATGCAGAAATACAGCAGCAATGATACTGCTGTATGATTGCTGGGATACTCCTTGGAATGCAGATCCAAGTTCCCAGTGAATGTTACAGTACAAGTAATAAGGGTTTTTCCCAAAATATTGAAGTCAGACTCCTGACCAACCTCCGCATTTTGAACGGAAGAACAAGCTCTTCCTCTGCTCCTGGCTCACGAGAGGGCAGCATTTCTTTACCATTACTTTTGTCAGGAGTCTACAAATCACTGCCACAAAATGCAGGGAAATTAATTCATTTATCTAGTGGAGTATCCTAATAAATGAATTAATTTAGTAGGGATCTCTCCACATTTATCAAAAATAAGGAATTTTTTCAGTAAAAATAATTTATAGTTTAACCATTACAAACTTGTCAGAAAATCTATCAGAAACAAGTTTTAAATCACCTTCCCTTTTGAAAAAGACAAATTTACAATGAACGCAGCTTAAATTGTCAACATCTTTAATTCTGGAGTTCAGGATAAACCTGAAATGCAGGATAAATACCTTCTTCATCCTCCCACTCTAAATCCAAGGAGGTGCTGTCATCGTTCCCACTCACTGATTTGGTTTTGGTCATCAAGTCACAACTGCTCTCTGTGTTGGGTGTCAGCACTGTGGCATCAGATGAAAGCCCTGTTTAAAAAAAAACCCATAATGTATTTAATGTATTTTTAATTCGTAAATGTACTTGAATTTCAGGTTAAACATGCAAAAGTAAAATTTTAAATTAAGCTCTCATCGTGCTTTGTGGCTCTTTAAACCTCAGGAATGCTGGAAAAGGCACTTTATCAGTTCAAAGAATAATCAGTAGCTTATAAATAGTCAATATCACTGAGATATTGCCTAATTAGAACTAGAAAGGAGTTTAATAAGCTGTAAGCTGGGCTTGTATGAAGATTTGTAAAAACAAAACAAAACCCAAATCAACCCTCTTCTCCCCAAAAAAACAAACTACTCACACAGTCATCAATCCTCCACCTTAGTGGTTGTCATGTACTGTCACCAAAACTTACAGATAAAAGCTTAGCAAATTGTTCTCCTCTAAAATGTTAGTGGAAATTTTTAGTACAGGCAGGCAAATTTACCTCTTGCACTTCATTACAAAAAAATTAAGCATTATTATGCTTCTAATTACTTTGCCAAGAGATGTTAAAAAAAGCTATAAACACACATCTGCATCTTCAACTGGTTTTATAAGAAATGTTCACTACTATCTTTTATTTATCAGATAAAAAAAAGATCAGATTTTTAAATTACAGATACATGTATGCACACTTTATATTTGTGTGTATAAAAATAAAGCTATAAGTAATCTGTGTTTATCTAGAAAAAGAAGCAGCATTCTGTGCCCCTCAGGGTCCCTTAACATTTAAAGATGTGCTTACTACTACTTCGGAAAGCTTCATACTGGAATTTTGTATTCCTTAGGAAAGGGTCGAGGTCTTCCTCTGCCACAGAGCTGCAAGAACACAATTTTTATAGCTTTAGAAACCTCCAAAGGTGCCATCAAAAATATGTTAATCCACATGCCCCCAGCTCTGTGCTACAAAGCATATGCACCCTGAACTAAATGTTTTATAAAATCATCTACAAAATGCCTTTCTATTCCTATTCACCACATCCTCTCCCAGTCTGTGCTTCTGCTCAATTTTTATTAGTATTTTCAGTTAAAAATCAATTAAATAATTCAAAACAACTCTTTTCCTCTCTTCATCACTTTAGATAAAATCTCCTTAATTTTCAAATCACTTTTTAAGTAATGCATTCAAACCCTGCTCCTGCAGTACATTGATTTTAAAATCTGGCCAGTTCCTACTCAGTTTTCTCAGCTCCTATTGTAAGTGTGCTTCCATAGCAAAATTCCTCCTGTCCCCCATGTCTTCAGTGCATGAGTTTTTTCTAAACTCAAACACCATTCCACTGTGAATGTCTCCACTTTTTTTTTTTAAGCTTGTTTTCCCCACCATCACCATTGAACACAGAAGATGGGAATGAAGAGACTTAAAAGAAACAAATACTTAAATATTTAATGAATAAATATAATTAAGAATATTAATGAAGGAACAGGCAGACTCTATAAACCATTTAAATAGTGTGCTTCTATTGAGTTTTTAAAACAGGCTCTGAACAATAAAAATATGTTTATGTTAGCTGAAATTTTACATATAAACACCTTCTTAAAATACACCACTGGATTTTGTGTGTGTGTAAATATCTGTTAGCAGCTGGGAGTAGCACAGTATGCAGCAGTCTAGTAACTCCAGCATCAACCAGACTGAACCCAAAATACCCCCTAGCTTTCCAGATGAGGAACAGGAGTACAGACAGGGAAAAGTCTCAGTTTTCATGAATAAAATTTGGTCTCTTACCTCTGGAACTCTCCATTGTTAACAGGATGTGCTCTCTGCGTTATCCTGTGCTGCCTACGCTGCTAGCGAGAAAAGCGAATCGTTGAAAAAGCTGAACACTCAAAACAGAGCTCTCAACACTTCATCCTATTTTATGCACCCCCCCAAAAAAAGCCCATCAGTTTTTAGAAAGATGGACACCACCTCAGTCAGGACTGCACCTGTTTTGTCTCCTTTTCTTCTTAAAGTGTTTTCAGTGCACAACAAACACCTGGGTGATGTTGGATTTCTTTTGCTCCGTGCCCAGGAACAGCCACCCTGCCATTTAAAAGATAAATATTTCCTCCAAATCCTTTCATCCCTGTGCAAAGCAGTGCTGCCATCTCCTCTGGCTGTCTCCATCAGCACTAAGTGCTTCATCTATATTAATAACAGCTTTGCTGCCTTGCAGGGCCAAAAATATTAATAACTCTGCTACTGTCAACTTCATCTGAGAACTGTTCTTTGCTTTGGGTGTGGGGAGGTAACTGCACTGGATCTGGTGTTTTTCAATCCCAAGAGGATGACGGTGGGTGGTGTTTTCTGGCACACTTTGCATCTTGGATATTTAAGTAATAGTAATTGCAGGTGGAAATGAGCAAATGGGGAGTGTAGAGAAAAAAAGTGGAAGCAGAAATATCATGTTGTGCTGGTTAGAGGTGAAAAGATTCAAGAACGCAGAGAGGAACAGACAGAAATTTGGCACAACACAGTCAACAAATCTGTCAAAATCAATTACTGACACACGCATCGATTTTCTTTCAGGATTCCTATACCCACTTAATACCCAATATAGATTATCTCCCCATTTTGCCAGGTCACATCCCAATATCCAGCACTGCCAGTTCCAGGACACACACATATTAAAATTCCCTGCTGTTACAGACACTGACATTTAGTAGGGCAACATCAGCAAGCCAAATGAGCTTTCAGAGAGCTTGCCATACTTCCAGGGAAAAAGCAATTTTCCCATTTGTGCCCACAAACAGCAGGGAGATGAGTGATGCATTCAAAAATAGCTTCCAGTTCATCTAGAAGGGCTAAGTGCTCAATGCATATCTGGACAAAAACACTTCCTTAAAATCCTTATAATCCTTATGGGTTTTGAGGAGGCTGTTTGAGCAGGAGATAAGTGGTACTAATTTTACACCACGAGGAAATTAAAATCTCTACAATCCATTCTGTCTTAGGTCCTGACTAAAAGAAGTGCATATTAAAAATACTTAAAGACAAGAAATACAGCATTTCTTGCACAGAACTTCTAAAAAAATCTGTTAACACGATTAAAAAAAAAAAATCTACTTTTGCTGGCTTTTATATAGATCAAAAGTGGTAAGAAAAAAAATCCAGCAGGCAAAAAGGTCAGAAATAATTAACCCTCCCACACCAAATGGCAAGGGGAGAGAAAGAAATGTGAAATGAGAGCTATAGGTAGTGACATAGAAATTAAATGAAAACTCCAGAGCAGGGTCTATACGAAACACAAAGATAAGGAGCAATACAGTGCACAAATATATAAAGTATATTTTACAAGTCTAAATGATGTCTGAATTAAACGTGTGCTTAATTTCAGGGGTATTTTTACCCCAAACCCATCACAGATCATTTTTACATTTAAGATCAGTAACTTCTGCATATTACATAAGAAGAGTGTGAAGCTAATTATAGATTAAAATTATATCTCATTCAAAATCTATACTTGGCGACAGAAGCTGTTTCAAACAATTATGGTGATTTTCAGCTGCTCCAACCAGCTGTACTTTCAGATCTTGTATTTCTTTCTCTACTTGGCAAGCCAAAGCCTTGTCAGGTCTCCTGAGATGGAAAGGGTATCAGGGAAGTCTGCATAGATGGGAACAGGACAGAGGCTCTCATATATATTGGGGTCTTTTCCCCCTCACCTCCAAGAGCTTTTTCTGCTTTGCTGCCCTGGCTGCTTGACGTTGTGCAGCATATAAAGCCTCCTCTTCTAGTCTTAACTTCTCCTCTTGTAAGGCTAACTGTGTATGAACAAAACAGTAATGGTTAACAAAAGCAGAACCTATCTATCTTCCTATTAATAAAGCCATAAGTGCGAGAAAACAAAAGAAAAGAAGCTAGGAAAACAAAATAAAACAAAATTGACTACAGCTAAAGCATTAACTGGATTTAACAGCTTCCCTCCCCGCAAGCAAACAGCCCGAGAAATGTAGGTAACTACTGAGAAAAGATTTATAATTAGTGAACTGCTGTAATGCTTTTTTCTATTTTATCATGGACTGCACAGTGAAAGATTTAAAGATTTTCAGTTCCATAGGCACTTTAGATTAAAGTTCATTCAAGTTCTACATTGTATTCCACATCATATTCCATTAACTGCTGCAGCACTAAAACAGAGTAACAAATTATGTGGGTCTTTTTTCCTTAAGAAAGTTGTGGAGAAAATTTAGCACACGAAAAGTTGAATCAAGATTATTCCCCATTTGGTCTTGTCACTGAAAAAAGGGTCCAATTTAAGAGATCCTGGACAGAAACCCAGCCTGTTCATTCCATTTTTCAGCTAAGAGCTATTAAAAAGAAGTAATTTGTGCACCTAGTAGGCTAAAAAATACCAACTGATGAACAAAACCCAATTGTTCCATGTGAGTGGAATCTCCTAGTGTCCATGACTCATCCTAACATTTTTGGAAGAAAAACCATTTGTACTCACTGTGACCACTTACCTCTGTCTGAAGCTTCAGATCAACAACTCTCTGCTTTTCAGCAATGGAGTCGTAGTGTCTCTCTTTCAGGTCTGCAATTTCTTCCTCAGTCAGAGGCCTGGGGAAACACAAAAAAGCTCCATCTATTATTCATGCATGACAACCCACATCTGCACTTTGACTTATCTGTGTGGTCTTTCCTGACCAGTCCTTTAAGGCAGATCCAACAGGCTGTGCTTGTGGCCTGCTCCTCCTGAAAGTTCCAGTTTGTTCCTCACTCTCACAATATATATTATTTATATCTTTACAGAAAGTATATTTTCAGAATCATCTCCACTAACAGAACTACTGGGATAGAACCATTACCGTCACTGCAGTCCATATCTCACTTTTTTTTTTTTTCCTTACTTGTTTTTGTCCCTCATTTTTCCCTTACTCGATTTTGTTTAGTGTTCACAGTGGGACAGCAGAGGGAAGGAGAGGTCCTCAGTCTCAAAGTCTTACCTGTGACTGCTTCCTGGGCTTTCCCCCTGTTAAAATAAATAAAAAAGAAAAGTCTTGTTTTTGTAAATACAGAGCACTTCCAGAACTTCCCTTAGCAGAGCAACCCACGTCCATTTCTGTCTCAGACTGAGGACACTTGCTGAGTCTTATGCAGGAGCAAATTCTCCTTTGAGTCTTTCCAAACACACTTTCCTCCCACACCTCTTCTTTTCTTTCTTCCCAAAGTCCATAGTGCCCCCTTCCTTAATGGGTTATTTCCCATACTCTCCAAAACCAATCTCTTAGATCTTTATCCAAAGCCTTAAATTCATATTTCCAGTGCAAGGAAAACTGAAAGTAAAAAAAAAAAATCCCATTATTTAGGTCTATAGCTCAGCTTAAAGTAGGAGGAAGATTCAGATGTTGGAACCATTTTTAAGGATTTTACAAGCAGGTTTCACATAATGCCCCAGGTACTCACCTCATCACTTTCCACCAGGTTCTCAAACTGCAGAGGAAAAAGAAATAATTTTTACAGCTCAATATAATGAGTCACTAAAGACACACAGTAAATATGATTGCATATTTTATGTGTCTTGTAAAAACAGTACTCCAATTCTAACAGTGGCACTGTAACCCTACTTTCGGAGGAATTTTATTTTTAGAGTTGGACCTTCTTACTAATGTCTCTCCTAAAAGGAGAAGAGTCCTAATTCAATAACAAGCATTCTAAGCTGCACAAACTTATCCAGCAGAAGTTCAGCTGTCACATAAAAAAAAAAAAAAAAAAAAAAAAGAAGCAGCAAATATAAATCGTCTGTACTGGTTTTCAGTATAGTAATCTTAAATCTAGTCAGTGCATCAGACACCAGACACAGAGGTCAGTACCTACAGCAAAACTCCTTATTGACCTAAAATCTGGGAGGAGAACAGCACCTCCTTTTTCCAATCTAGGCTGGAATATCCCAGACTATTTCAGTGTTTGTGAACTGCAGAAAGTGTTAAAGGCATTGCTAGGATTCAGCTTTTCCCACTTTTTCTTAAATAGCTAAAAATCTAAGTACTCACCTCTATAGTGAAGTGTTCTCCTGTTGAACATGTTCTAAAATACTTGGATCTGGAAAAATAAGTTTACAGTTAAGACTGCAGAAGACTCTTCCATACACAGCAGAAGGTAAATGAGCCTGAGAACTTAAAATAGATTTTAAAATATGTTAAATATAAAATAACAACAAAATCTTTATGTGTTTAGCACATTGACTCATTAACTGGAGCTCTGCATCCCTACTACAGCAGACAGAGGCAAAAGCATGCAAGCATCTTCTGTAGAACTGGGGAAAAAAACAAAAACCCAAGAGATGAAATCACTGTCAGGATGCTGGACTTGACATTTACAGACTATTAGCATGTTCTGCAATCCCTGTAATACATTTTTCCTGGAAAAAACATTGTTCCAGGCAATTTCTGAAAATGCTGTTGCTCACCACAGCACTTAACTCTTTCCTGGCACCTTGTACCTCATCAGTTAAACAATACATTTTATTTTGACAGCTTGGCTGAGCCTCAGAGAAAAACATCCAATAAGAGGTCAAGGAAACACTTTTAAGCTAAAAAAGTAATTTTATCACGCTCTAATTTTATACAGGGTTTCTTCCCGTGATTCTTTATTAAGAATTCTTCCTATTTTATTTTAATTCTTTTGCAGAGGGCAGTTAGCTCTGTCCTCTACAAAACCCCACACAGTGTTAAGTTACCTGAACACATTTTTACCTAGCCAAGGAGGTTTGGCCATCATCCAGAAGAACATTCTAATGTAAACACTCTTCAGTGCAACATCCATTTCATCGAACTGTTTCCAAAACCAGGGTTTCCAGTTACCAGTGCTGACTGGTGCAAGGAATAAAGCCAGGGCCTCAGGGATTTCTACACTTGCACGAAAAGATCGTTCAGCACTTGCAACCAACACCAACACTGTGACACACCAGCCAAAGCCTGAATTGTTTTAACCGTATCCTGTTTCATCTCCATCTCATTTTCCTTTGGAAGCCAGTTAAGGGAGTGTCTCCCCTAGCAACTTGTTGCACTACCCACTGGTTCCTTGTTGCACAACCTTTCCTGCCACTAAAGAACCTTTTCCAGAGAATTCACTGCTGGGAAAGCAAAGAGGAAAGGCCACTTTCCTCTCTGGAAATCAAGTAGTACGTGACAAGGATAACTGGGACATGTGGCATGAGCACTTAGAGTATTTTCACTGCTGCCCTTCTCTGTAATTTGGTGTGCAGGAGCCAATACCATTAAGCATCTCATCTAACAGCACTCTTAACAGGAAATTGTTCCAGGGCCATCTACACTGTTACCAAACGTGTCATTCCAGTCTGCAGCACCAGGCTTTAGGTAAACTACTTCCAACTTCCCAAGCACTCGAGCTGCAGTCAGCTTAGCTGCAAGAACTGAACAGCAAACTAAATGCACTGCAAGCTCCCTAAGTGTCATCACAAGCGGCCCAAGAGCAAAGCCAGCTTTAGAAGAGCTACTCTTTCAGCAGCTCCTTCAGCTGCTTGCTGAACAGGGCCTCAGTCCCAGAAAACTGAATTCTGTGCCAGAGTTTGAGCCCATAAATCACAGAATTACAGAAGCTTGAGGTCATTAGGGACACAAACAGAAGACCCATCAGCTTCACCCCTACCCTAAACTTCATGTGAAGTATCAGCAACCTATGAAAATGTTTGCACTTTTTATAATTCTCCCTTAAGCTCTACTTTTCCACTGTTATATATATATAAAGCACAATTCCAAGCAAAGGCAACTTACAATATTCCAGGATATAAAAACACTTACTAAAAACTCTCTACTTAGTTGTTTAATTAGGAGTTTTATCTCTTACAGGCAAATCTTGGAGCATATAAAAATAATGAAGCTGGGGTGGGGGGAGGATCTGAGTGATTAAAATAATCATTAAGTTGATAAGCTACATTTTTACATTATGGTGTTCCAGAAACGGCCAAATGTGGACAATGTGGTATCAATCTAACTTGTAAACTTTATAATAAGCCATATTTTACAGTTTTGGTTTTAACAGAATTCCCTGCTGAGTGGAAGGACAATAACCTCAACACTGATACTGCTCTGTAAACTACCACCACCACAGAAAACAAACCTGCTCTGAAACACAGAGGCCAGCAGTTCTCTGTACATTTTATATGCTTCAGATTTTCACTGCAGTTTGTGCAACACCTGGACAATTAGACAATCCCGCAGCAGGCAGTAGGATTTGTTTCACTGGTAAGGAAGGACATCCTGCTATTGGACTAATAACATATGCAGGGGTTGCAACTAAATTTTTTTGTCACTAAAGTTGTCACTAGATTTGCCTGCTGAAAAAAGGGGTATTGGCATGTAGAAGAAGACTCAACAAAACACACAGGAAGAAGAAGCTTTCAAGCTGTGCAGGAAGAAGCTTTCAAGTACTGCCTGGTGTTCTCAAAGCACAACAAACTGCTACTTCAGTGCCAGCTGTCAAGGCATTGGAAGTGTTCTCATCCCCTCTGGTGAAGCACTAAAAATACAAGCAGGTATCCTCTACATGAACTGCTCTGGTTTTTCACCCCTGTCTCTGAGAAGCAGCTTGTCTGGAAGGTGAGACTTGCCTGCCAGAGCTGATGTGCAGCAAGAGGCCACGAGCTTGCATCATGTAAAATGCTCAGCAGATCTGCTGAGAACGATTTCTGTCCTAACACATCAGAAATAAGTGATCCAGTACTGGGCAGGATATGGAAAAACCTCAAGCACTTCCCGTTTGCAGAGCGCTTTTCCGTGAACTGCTCGTGGCAGAACGAAACAGGTTGTCACGCGTTTCCAAGAGATAAGAATTTGAACCGCTCTGCAACAGACATGAGTTCATCTGAACCATTCTGCTCCTGATTTATCCCAACAGCGTCTCAGCCTCTGACTCACAGCGAAGACGAGATCACATTGCAGAAAACCGGGTGTTTTTCCATCTTTCGCACAAGCACGGGCCGCCTGCACGGCTTTCGGCGACTGACCTGAAAAAGCCCTCTAGGCATCTCCTGCCGGAAAAACACCGGGGCTAAGGAGCCGGTGACCCTGGAAGCCCGGCGGGCTCCCGGCGCCTCCATCCTCCGGGATGCCGCGGCTCCCGAAAGGAACGGGCCACGGGCACCGGGCGCGCCCAGACCCCGCATCCCTGCCCACCCTGCCACCCTCTCCGGCCCCACGGGGAAGGCGGAGCCGCCGGGCCCGGCACCTCCCCGCCCCGGGGAGGGGAAAGGGGCAGCCGCGCTGGCTGCTGCTCACCCTCCGCCGCGCTGGATGCGGCCGGGATCCCTCCGGAAGAACAGCCCGCAGCACCACTGCGCCCAGCAGTTCCCCATGGCATCCTGCTGGCCGCAGCTCCCGCTGCCCTCCCGGCGGGCTCAGGCCGCCCCGGCCGTGGGGAGGGGCGGCCGCGGACCCCCGGTAACAAAGGGCCGGCACAGCCTCATGGCTGCGCAGGGACGGGCGGTGCTCGCCCCGACCGCCGGCACCGCCCCTGCCACCGGCGTCACCGGCGGCATCGGCCCGCCCCTCGCCGGGACCGTCCCAGCCCGGCACAATCCCGCCCCAAAATCGGCTTCCCCCGTGGCCCTGCGCGGTGGGGTCCTCTCACGGTAATCCGTGCTTTGACAGGAGGAAAATGTGGCAGGTCCCCGTGGGAAGGATGGAAAATCGCGTTTTGAAGGAGGGGAATCCCGCTCAAGCTCCCTGTTATGGAAAAAGGGGTGTCCCCCCCAATTATCGAGCCTTGACTGGGTCAGTGCCATCGAGGTAGCAGCACCTGCAGCACACCTGGAGCGCAGGCACGGTGTGGTTTAGCGAGGTTCTCCACTCATTCTTGGTTTCTCTGGCTTCTTAAACCGCAGCGCCACACTGACACGTGGGAACGCAGAATCACGGAACCGCAGAATGGTTTGGGTTTGAAGGGACCTCCAAGCCCATCTTCTTCCAACTCCCTGCCATGGACAGCAACACCTTCCCCTATCCCAGATTGCTCCAAGCCTTGTCCAGCCTGGTCCAGGACGCTTCCAGGGATGGGGCAGCCACAGCTTCTCTGGGCAACCAGGGGCTCTCCACCCTCACAGGGAGGAGTTTCTTCCTAATCTCCAGTTTAATATGCAATCTACTGTCTTTCAGTTTTACCCCACTCCCCTTTGTCCGTGGTAAATTAATGGTGTCATTACAAAGACGTGGATTGCTCCTTTCTTTTAACGGGTCCGAAAGTCTCTCAGCAATGGAAGGGTTAATTGGATTCCAAGTCATCTCTCCATTAGCAGCACAGGACAGATGCCAGGACCCAGAGGAGCTGCTTGCTAGGATAGTGATGAGCAGCAGAAGGTAGAAGGAATATAATAAATCACTGCCAAACACACTCCGGTGTTGTTCTTTCCCTGGAAATCTGAGGTCAGCCTGGAAAAGTGCATTACTGTGATTGCATGCAGGGAGAGAGAATGAGGGTGAGTGAGACATAAAAGCAACCAGGAATTAAGTGCAGAAGGTGATGCCTATCAGTGTGACTCAGGAAGAAGGTTCCAGAAAATATTGCTGGGATATATGATTCCTCATTACGCTCTTTTCCCGGAAATTGACATTTTGGCCAGGTAAATACTGCTCCTTTCCCAAAGAGCGAAGTTGCAGTATTCCAGCCTGACAGGCGTTCATAAATTCCTTCAGAGAAATGGAACACCTTTTTTTCCACAGTACCCTCAGCTATGACATAGAGGCCACCAACTGAAATGGGAATATTGAGAATATACACGTGGAATGGCTTAGTTTCTGCAATTTGTTCCTGGAGGTGTTTTCCTACATGTGTCCTGCCATGCCAGTCCTGCCCAGAACATGAGAAGTCAGGGTTAGCAGAAGACTAATTTGTGCACTGAAGGGGAAAACAAGTGGTATTTGCCATGGGTTGCTACATCCACCAGTGGATGGAAGGAACAGGGGGATGCTGGATTAAGAATGTACTGGCTGAAAATACAAGTAAATACAAGTAAACCCACAGGGATGCTTCAGCTTTCCTTCCTCTCAAAGGGAGCAGGTTCATGCACGGTGTTACGTTGCAAACAACACGAGCAGGCACTGCCAAGTTTGTAAGATAAACTGCACAGTAAGGCCACCGGCACAGACACCTAAAACTAAATTATTCCGCCTTTTCCACGGCTGATCCTTGGCAACATCAGCAGCCTCCCATCTGCACACGGAACAGCCATTGCATGGATTCAGGCTGGGCTTTTTAACACGTCGCTCAGCCCACCGCGCAAGGGACAAGGTTGCTTAGCACGCTTTACGTGCCCTAGCGGCTTTAAGAACGCAGCCTTTATAACATTTTATTCTTAAAACATTTTATGAGGCCTTTTAACGAGCCTTCCCTCCCAGCTCCCAGCCGCCTTTCGCGACAGGCGGGGCGCGGCCGCGCTTTCCGGCGGGCCGTTGCCGCGGTAACGACCGCGTTGGGCCGGGCGGCGGCGACGGCCGCGGTGCCTCCATCCCGGTGCTGTGCCCGCATCCCGGCCCGGTGCCTGCCGCAGGGCCCGGGCCCTCCCGCCGCGGCCATGGACAAGTACCAGGTGCTGGGGCTGGTGGGGGAAGGCAGCTACGGGGTGGTGACCAAGTGCAGGAACAGGGAGAACGGGCAGGTGGTGGCCGTCAAGAAGTTCCTGGAGAGCGACGACGACGCGGCGGTGAGGAAAATCGCCCTGAGGGAAATCAAACTTCTCAAGGTGAGGCTGGCGAGACAACACCCCCCCACCCTTTTTTTTTTTTTTTTTTTTTTTTTTTTTTTTTTTTTTAGCAGTCTCGTGCTTAAATTGTCAAAGTTTTGCTTTTAAACTCGCGGCTGAACCCTTCAGCTCGGGCTGTGTCGCAGCATAGTCCCCGGTCAGCGATCGCAAAGTGTCGCCAGCAAAGTCCAGGCCAAGGGAGACTCGCTCGGGCCCTGCTTGAATTTGCGTGTGCTGCATCCATGGAACCTTCTGTGCTGCAGCCTGGCACAGCTGCTTCTCCCTTGGCCTGAGCGCTGGGCTGGGTGCACCTGGCGAATGCTGGGTTGGAGAAGCCTGGCGATGTTCCGGCGTTCCCGGGGGATGCTGCGGTCTCTGTTGCCTCCTGGTGGTGGCTGTCCCCCTGTCCCGAATGCCTGGCCTCTGCTGCTGTGGATTTGCTGGAAACGGAAGAAACGCTGACCTTTCAAAGCCTGCGTGTGTGACGCTAAACGGGCTGCCGGTGTCACCTGAGACGGGAGAACGCTTCTAGGAAAGTTTTCCTTAATTTTTTTTCTATCCATGACGCCTTCCTGGCAGCCAAGAGGCTGGAGGAGGACTCCTATGAATTTCCCTGAACCATTTGTGAGAGCCAGCTGGCATTGTGTCCTTTGCTGTCAGAGTCTGGGATTTGCCTGAAAAAAGGATTCCATCCTGGTGAGGCACTGGCATGGGTTGTCCAGAGGAGCTTCCCTTGTCCCCCAGGAATGCTTGTCCCATGTGCAGTGCTTGTCCCTGTGTGTGGGCACATGTGGGAGTTTGGAACATTGGGACCCAGTTGATGTGTTTGGTGAAAAAACAAAGAAGGAAAACTTTATTTTCAGGCTATTCCTGTGACGTGGAGTGTTCCAGAGGTGGGAATACTAGCAAAATTGGGTCCTGTCCTCTTCTCTGCCCCTAGTGTTTCTTTCTAAATCTGCCAGCTTACAGTTCCTGTGCACTGAAGGGGAAAACAAGTGGTATTTGCCATTACTGCAAGAGCTACAGAGTTAGAGTTAATAGAAATGTATGTGCAGGAGCTTGGGACACAGCCAGCTCCAAGCACTATCCCTTCAAGCCCTTTTAAAATGGATCTGTGTGAGCCTGGATTGTCCCTGCTCCACTGGCCAGGCTCACCGAGTTACTGAGTTACTGAGCAGCACGCAGGTGTGCTGGGAGTTAACTGACTTTGCTGGGTGAATGGAACCTTTGCAAGGGGAACGTTTGCATATACAGCTCAGGAAGCGTGGCCTCTCATAGGAGAAATAAATACCTGGAGGTTTGGTCCCTTTGTAGCTCCTTCCCTTGTTCCCTGTCCATTTTTGGGTTTAATTTTTTTTTCCTCTCAAGTTTGGGCAGAAATTTAATTGTGTCTGAAAACAGCAAAGACCTCTTCAAGTCTCTTGTGTGGGGAATAAATAATTATTGGGAAAAGAGCTTTTTATCTTATTGATTACCCTTTAAAAATTATTCTCTTGTCAGACCTAAGAAATCTGGGCAGACACAGATGCAGGTTGGCTGGCGCTGGTAGAGTTTCCCCTACAATTCCCTGTGCTCTGCAGTCCTTTTGCATCTTCCTGAGTCCCACCCCTGGGCTCTGGTGCTGCCTCCAGGCAGCCTCTGGGGATATTTCCCTGCCAGGCTCCAGCTAATAAATAACTGTGCTCTGTAGCATGGCCTTTTGTGTTGGTGTGTGATAAATGTGTAACAAATGGGAGGTGGATTCTTGTCTGCTGGGAACGCGATGACAAAATAACTAGAAAACACAGCTGCTCTCTCTTCCTCTTTTTCTTAAAGTTGCATTTTTTGGTACTGTCCCAGCTGGGCTGCAGTTGAAAAAATTACCTGCAAAAAATTTTTGTTAGAAAATTTCCCTTCATAGCTTTTAGTAAGTGTTTTCCCTCACTAAACATTCCCTGTTTTTTGACAGCAACTGAGGCACGAGAATCTGGTGAGCCTGTTGGATGTGTGTAAGAGGAAGAAGCGCTGGTACCTGGTGTTTGAATTTGTGGATCACACGGTGCTCGATGACCTCGAGGCCTCTTCTGGTGGACTGGACTACGACAGGGTTCGGAAGTACTTATTTCAGATTATGAGAGGAATTGCCTTTTGTCACAGCCATAATGTAAGTATGTGCAAGAAATCATCTCTGCAGCTAAAATCAATAGATATATATTAGAATAGAAGCACGTGTTTTTGTATTTGTATATATTTAAATTTAGAGAAATAGAGCTTTGTCTGAAAAGGAAAAGAGAAACATAAAATAAATGTGTCTGAAATTAGAGGTTCTGTGTTTGCCCGTAGTTTTCTACTTGAGTATGAGAAAGCTGCACCTTTTGCCGAGCCTGTCAGTTTGCTATGTACAAATGGGGAATTTGCTCTGACTTGCTTTTCTCTGTGCAGA